GAAAAGTTACATAGCTACCCTGAATGGGGTTGATGGTGAGCTAAATATTGAAGAGGGCATGCCAAAAGAGTTAACAATAGTCATCAAAGAATTTAAAGATGTATCTAATAAGAAGTTGTCTATGTGACCACCACAAAAAGGGACAAATTTGGTAGTAGAGGATCAAGACCAGCAAACAAACTTATCAGTTCCTAGTTCATAAATGGATGGAATTAAGGGTCTGTTTTAAGCAGCTGCAGCTTATCCAGATAAACAACTTATCTTGATAAGCTGCTAATCAACAGCTGATCCGAATAAGTTATCTGGCTGTTTAGTTTGTGCGTTTGGAAAACAGTTGATTTACAACTGTTTCTGGATAAATGATCATTCTGCCACTGATCCATATAAGTTGTCTAGTTGTTTGATTTGTGCGTTTGGAAAACAGCGATTTGTATTTGTTTCTGGATAAATGCGCATTCTGTCACTGTACAGTTGTGCTAATTGCAACAGAATTGTTATGGTTATATGTTTGATGCTTTAGAACCCAAAAAACTTTTCATAATAGTACAAGAATATACACCTCACTTAAGAGTGAATAACAAAAAACCTAAAAAAAAAGAAAATACATATTAAAATTACAATTAAAGTATGATAATATTCATTGTAAAATGCAGAAGAAGAATGTCGCGAGCAACGTTGTCCGGTAGGGATACCATCAGGCATCAATCACTATCGGCAGAAGAATTAGTCGGACTGTCTGCCCACCTGAAGAAGTCATACGTCTCTGGGTCGTCTGCCCATCACAGGCAATTATAGAACTGTCGTTCGTCGCTATGGGTTCATCATGACATCAATAACAAAGAGGCATAACACTCGCCCGGAGTTCTCCGAAAACCTGAAGCTCATCTTCTTTCAATAATTCAAGGGAGAACTCGTCAAACATAACATTAGATGAAATTAAAAAAATCATAGAAATTAAAAATAAAAAATAGTTTTGAATAAAGAAACAAAAAACTAATTAAAAAAATAACAAGCATGAGGAAACTGATGAAATTCAAAAAAAAAATATACAAGGAAATGGGAATAAACGAAAACTGTACATGCATGAAGGCTCAAAGAACTCACTACTCCAACCAACAAATCTGTCACTACAAGAAAACAGTAAATCTTAGAAAAACCAGAGTTCTTGGTGGCCTTTTATCCACGCAAAATTAACCTCGCGTGTGTCACATATGCATATCACCAAAAAAGATCATTATGAGGATCCTCAAAAACCATATCGCCACAAATAAAAGAGAAATTTGGTTGTCCTCATTAAGATTTCACATGTGACACAAACCAACAGTGACTGACAGGTCATCTGAAGAACCCAGAAAGGTCAAATGACTCATCATCGACCTCACAAACACACACAAAAACACAAATAAAACTCACATGGAGAAGAAACAAAAACAAACAACCGAAAAATGTTAAACCAAAAAAATCCATAATATAAGTGACATTAAACAAATATAGAGGTTATAAAATAAACAAAAGGCATTCAGTCAACATCGAACAATCTCGCCCCGTTATCCGCTCTCTCAACGCAGCCATTTCCGTGGCACTTTCGCTATCTTGGGTATAATCTTCCTGAGATTCCACTTCTGCTTGTGGTATAGACTGGTTTATATGAAATTCAAATGCTTTTGGCGGGGCCTGCATGTGATCGTCATCAGCCAGGGTGAAGTCTCATCCGACCTAGAATAGTGTCGTCAAATGTAGTTGTGGAGCGTCATCGTGGTCACCACAATCTGCACTTGTTTTGAAAATGGGTAAGTCGGCATATCACGTAGAATGACAAATTTTTTTCTTCCACACCCCAAAATTTCGTTCAATTACACCGCGTGAGGAGTGTCTTTTGTTAAACATTTCCTTCTTGTCGCAAGCTACACTGTTGAATCAGGAATGTAGTACTTCATATCTGGATATGACTTTAGATACTCCCTCTGTAAAGAATATTCAACATCGATTAAATAATATTTATCTGCTAGAATACCGTAATAGTAACAAACTAAAAATATCGATCGTGGTTGATATATTTTCAAACTTGAAGGTGGGTGCAGGAAGTCGTGTCGTCGGTCTTGTGTTCCAAAAGAAAAAATAAGACTGTTGTGTGCACTGTCTTCCCAATCAGTCATGACAAAAGTGAAGCATATGTCGAAGTCACATACGACCATTACATTTTGTGTTGACGCTCCACACCGCCCAATATATGCAACATTCTCAGTACTGGATATTTGTGCATCATATGTATTCTGTCAATTGCTGCAATACAGTTCTGTCAGATTTGTTACAGTTGTGAATGTCATGTAACTCATTTTGACATCTGAATGTCATGTGTTATTAAAAATTACCTTAAGAAATGGTATGTAACGACGGTCATTAGCAATCTTTGTCGGAGTCGCCTCAAATGTTGGATTCTCTGGCTTAATTATCGTTGTCGCTAAACTGACAAGAGCTTTCAAGCCCACCGAGAAATACTTGTTGATTGTATCCGATGAATATTAGAATTGCTATATCGCTCATCTAATTGATTTTTTATGTGATAAAATGTAGAAGGTTATTATTAATACCTCTCTTGTTGTCGTTCTTGAGGAGTTGTGTAGTCGATTATGTCTTTGTAGTTCATCGAGCAAATCGAGAAATATGACTTTTTTCATATGGAACTTGTTACTGAACCGTGTTGGGTGTCCTTATAGTAGCTCGTCGACCCATTTATCATCAATATAACTCGATGTCATGCAGGGAGTTCAATCGACGTAGGGTTGTAGTATTCATACAACATAATCATAACTGCAATAACTTTTCTTCTAAAGCTCAGTTGATTTGGATCCATCGTTAACAGTATTCTATGAAAGCATGAAATGTGAATCAGACAAGTTAAAAAGAAGATATATAAAAACTAAAAATGGGCAACTGACAAGAAAGCTAAGCAAACATCTACAAGAAAAATGTGGAGTGAAAACCAGTGCAAATAAACAACCAAGAAAGAAATGTGAAAAAAACTAGAGCAAATACAAAACATCATCTCTACGACATCATTTATCCATAAAAAACGTAAACAGTTGACTCGCAGATCGGGGTCCATCTGCATGAATATTTGTTTGCGTCTTGGGTCCTAAAGCAAAACTTCAATGAGCTCAGATACAATGGCTTATCCGGCTTAACTTCAGGATATGTGTGAAGAACTCAACTATGGAGGTGTCCCGTGAAGTCCCGACATGAATTTTACATGATTCTAGCATTTCTTTTATTGAGGCTTCTGATGAAAGCATATCCTTCTTTCTTTCTTTTCTCCACACTACGCCGCTTTGATCTGCATGTAGAATCCAACTCCCTCTGGTTTAGACTGTGGCCTTCACCTGAATCGCCTAAATGCTCGGCCTCCAAGTCATCTGGTATGCTTGTAACCCATGCTCACTTGGAGTGAACACATGAGTTCCCATTGCAACAATCACTCTGAAGATACCGTCCAACTTCTCCTCTAAAACCAGATCAATGCCACTGAATTTGAATTTTCTTGCTGTCGGAACTGCCTGCAACATAAGACAAGTTTACTACTCAAAGCAGCTTAGTCGTATATATAATGAGATAAGCAGTATTCATTGGATAGGTTATTACCTGCAATTTCTCAGTCCAACAAGCCTCTGAAGCATCTATTGACTGTTTCATCGGATCCCAATCCAATCATGTGAATCACCTTTTAGTTTCTTCCATAATTTTCAATCCTTCCTTAGTTGATCTCACTTATTCTTAAATTTCATCCTATCGTAATTCCTTCATGTCATTTTCTTGAACTTTTCATGAGATTTTGTCACCCTTTCTTGTTAAAAAGGTCGCAAAATATAACAGTGACCTCTCTATCCCATATGGCCAATGATCCGACCTGTTTACTCTGACTCATTATGTTGCTAAGACATAAAAGGAAAAAGATAAAATAAATATTTCTTTCAAGTAAAAAAAAAATCAATATCAACTAATAAACTGCATCCATAAAGCACTCAAGCAAGTATGTCGACCCAAAAATTTAGTTTTGATTTTTTTTCTTAATTTTCTCCTGCAATCAAGAAACTCTTTGTAAAATATTTATATATTCCAGCAACCACATATCATAAAAAGAAGCTTGTGAGACGAAGTGTAAGCAAACACTTTAGAAATAAAGGATTTGACAATAGTAAGGATTCTTTTAGCATTTCTCCACACGACATAATGCTTCCATTGATTTCTTTCATTCCAAAGAAACAATCAAATAGTATAGTGGATAACATTTTGCAAAAAATTACCCCTCCTCCAAAGCAAAAGGCAATGATCCAAATTTTGATACCCGCACATATGCATATGAGTTTTAAAATAAGAGAGACAGCAGCCTCGATATCTCCCAAGAAAATGCAAAATTGAAAAATAGATGGTGCAAAGATTCCTTCTCATTTCAATAAAATAAACAAATATAAACATTGTGCAGCCCTTTAAGCTTAATAGTATCATCAAGAGGCAATAACTTATAATTTAATCGACAAGATAAAGAGGATTGAGATGGTTTCAACAGAGAAATCCATGATTTAGTACCTCAATTAATAGCAGGAGAAGGTTTTTGTTTAAACCTGAGAGCTTCCCCTTTATTTTTTTCAATACACCTACCAGCAATGTAAGCAACACCACTAAGGAACTTCATTCTTATTGGTATTGACCAAATCACCATTTCCAAAAGCTCAATTGTTGGTTGTAATGATCCTAAATAGTTCCTAAACATTCCAAGCATCCTCACACGAAAAAACCTTCAACCAAATATCAATGGAATGTACTTATCATAAAAATGTGAGAAAGGATCAAACCATCCAGCAAACCTCGTCAAAATGCACCTCCAACAAACACCAGCACTCACAAGAAATCCTAATTTAGCAAATAAAAAATGCCCAAACAAGTAACAATTTACTATGGTTAAATCCATCTAGCACCCACAAATCACAAAAGTAAGCTCAAGAAACAAATCATAAATGCCCCAAACAGACAATAGGGGATGAACTTCAATGTCATCCATTGAATAAGCTAATGTAAAAAATCAAAAAGTATTTAATTGGAAAAGTCCAAGAATCAAACCACCCAGGATTTTCCTCAAACCCTGTAAAAATGAGAATTTAGTTTTGCACCCAAAATAAGGGCATAAAATGCACAGTCCAACCTCATAGAGACCATAACAAAGGCTCCAACATTTTCGTTTTGCACCCATAAGAAACTTGGAGAAACCAGAGAAACCAGAACAAAGGCTCCAAGAATACAAATATTAGAGTCGAATTATATGTATTGCAAATGGCAAACCAGATCCATCAACAGTCACTAGATCTGTAAGAGCGTAAACAGAAATTGCAAGCCAGAGAGCATAATATCGTACAATACAAACCATTTCATCGGCAGTTAGCAAATTTACTTACAAAGCAGTGAATGTTGGGGGTCTAATGACATAGTAGGAGGAGAACGTCAAAGCGCACGAGTGAGGGAGAGAAGCACGCGAAAGAGAGAGGGTCAAAAGAGACGGGCGAGAAGGAAAAAAGAGGGAGTTAGGGCAGATAATATGTGAAGAGGCCAACCCTGTCAAAAGCTTTAATGAAACACGGACCGCGGGTCGCGTCCGCGTTTAACATAAAAACAAAACCGTCATTTTCGCAAATGCTGACGAAACACTTCTTCCAAACTAGCAGTGACTTTTTGAAAACGACACCACAACGGATAAGCTGGCCCAAACGTACCTTAAGTGAAAGGGACTACTTGACTTGAGAGATAGCTGGAAGTCTGAGAATGATCAATGGAACTGCAAGAATGAGATCAAGCATTACACTAAGAGAAGATGTGAAAGAGCATCTCAGGCTTATGTGGATGAGAATGTCATACTCTACTAATGATCAGTGAGATTCATCAAACTCTAGTTGGTACAAAAATGGCAAGCATGGACAAAAAAAATCTTCAACAATCATCTTAAAATGGAGCCATATTGTTCTTAAAGGTTCCAAAAATTTTTGCACAAGCCTTGATTCATTCAAAAGGCTGTAGAAGATATGGAAATTTTGGATATTGCAAGAATACTTTTTAACTTTCTGGTCTCTAGACCCTTCTAGATACTTCGTGAATAATCTGAGAGCCTCTAAAATTCTATAGAGTATTTTGGATGTTTAAGTGTAGTGTAGAGTATAATAAAATTATTTATATATATATAAGTATTATATTGCCATTTAGAAACTATAATAAGGAGGTAAGGGCCTATAAATACGACCATCATCTCATTTGTAATCCATTCAAGAAAAGCACAAGAACACTTACCTTGTAGAATTCTCTAATGTGTAATACATTCTAGGTTTCTCATTTAGAGTTATTATCATCTGTAGTTCTTAGTATCTAGTGTAAGTCTTAGCTTGAAAGGGGTGTGCTAATGCAAAACGGTTAACTTAGAAAAAAAATTAATAAGTCATACAACTTCCCCAATCGGATTAGCTGAAATAATTTCTGCTCATTAGTGAAGAGTAGTGTTTGCTGATAAACTGATAGTTTGCTTCATAACAAGATAAAAATATTAACCATTTGATTTACTGACTTTTAATATGTAAAGCTATGTTATTAATAGCTGTCACATATTTAGTTTACTGATATATTTAAATAATTTCATAAATTGGAGTTTAGAGTTCTTTTTATGATAGATGTCGGTCACAGGCTATTTGTGGCTTTAAACAAAAGACTAAAAATAAAACAAAACAAAACAAAAATCACAACGATTGTCGTGTCGATCATTCTAAAGGATATTAGTTAATTTTTTAGTAAGATCACGTTGGATCAAATTCACGGCATTTGATAGACAATAATGTTTCCTTGACACAGTCACTTAAAGAACACTACCATCTACGTAGTACTGCTATCCATACAGGAATAAACCAAACAGCTTACAGAAAAGGTAATTGTAGAACAGCTACGGTTTAAGCCTATGTTAGCATATTGCAAAGCGTGCATATTAACAAAGCTTCCATCATCCATTTTACAAAACCCTTTTAAATTTTCAATGAACTCTATCAAATACAGAGATTACAAATATTCAATTAATTAAAAAGAGAGTCAATTTTCCATTGACACAATTAAGAAAGAGGAAGGAGTGAGCGCGGGGTTTACGGGATCGAGATCGGAATCTGAGGAGATGTCGAACATTTCGCGAATGATTTCCTTCGAAATTTTCAATAAACTCTATCAAATACAGAGATTACGAATTTTCAATTGATTAAAAAGAGAGAGTCAATTTTCCATTGACACAATTAAGAAAAAGGAAGGAGTGAGCGCGGGGTTTACGGGATCGAGATCGGAGTCTGAGGAGATGTCGAACATTTCGCGAATGATTTTGCGGTCGTTTTCGTCGAGACCAGTCCGCCGGGTCCTCCATAGCGCCTGCAGAATGTACTCAACTGACTCCCAGGAACTGGACTGCAGAAGCAGGTGCAGATGTCCCCATAACGAGTGTTGCTGCTCCATCAAATCCAATCGTTCGATGCACACCAAATCCAGCGATTTCACGATCGACCTGCTTAAACCCTATCGGACTCATCTGCCTTCATGGGCTTAGGTCGTTTAAGTGTTCGGCACCTTAAAAACCAGTAGTATATTTTTATTCTATTATTTAATAAATAATTTTAATTGATTTTAAATATTTATAGGTTTCTAGCAATTAATTTTTAAAAAATACCACTCATTAATTATATATATATATATATATATAATTTAATTTTAATATTTAGAGTCAAAATGAGACAAACAACAAATCCTTCTTGATGTTCGGTTTGTTTATATATCGAGCGCCAAAAAGTTGCTAGTGTTCAGCTCTCTAACTTAGCAAATGAATCCAACACGAGTTTCTTAACGAGCCGAACACGAGTTGTTCGCGAACAACGAGTCGTTTAGACAGAACAACATGGGGGGATATTATGTTCGGAACTCGGCCAAAATCCCAAAGACAATCCCACAGTAGGATTACTAATTTATGTTTAGATATTTTTTTAGACATATCTACATAATTACGTACATTTTTCTTAATTCTTTTCTATTTAGATATTAATTGCACATCGAAAACATTTCAACATGAATAATGATGTCGCCCCATGAACAACAAAGGAAGCAGTGGTTACATGTCTAGCTAATTAGTCTCCCTTACTTTGAAGGATGGTTTGTCTCTCGTGATTAGAGAATGGTTACTCCTAAATAAATAGATGGGTCAAGCCTGTGCAAATATATTCATCACCTTCAGATGCACATCAAATCGAAAAGGGAGAATAGGTCTTTCAACCACAGGACGACTGGTGTAGGCTCTCGGCAAATAACAACTCGGCCACACAATTGACAAGCCCTACAGGCTCACGGTTTGAAAGGGCATCGGCCAGATTCATCGCCGGGCCCCGCAAGCAAAATTTATGAACATACTAGGGTACCCTGCCGTACCTAGGAATTTTAGGGGTACAAGATGCAAATGTGGACTAATAACCTTCTTTAAATAGAGGGCCCATTTTATGAATCGGGGTTAGGTAATTTTTACGACTCCATGCACTCATCTCTCTCTCTCTCTCTCTCTCTCTCTATCTTTGGTGCTCTATTTCTTGGGCGTGCCTCCAAGACTGGTTTGGATTCAACATTCTATATGGTGCGGTGAGAGTGGAGTCTTGTCATCAAAAGAAATGGAGCATAGAGATCCCAAATAGATGGGAGTGACTAAAGAATTGTAGCTAACATAGAACCCTCATGGGACAACATTGAGGAATGCATGCATAGCAGAATGTGGGAGATAAGGACCCAAATCATTTTGGTGGTGATGGGTCAGACCGTCGAGGGCTTGAGAGCCCTCGCAGTCTTGGCAGGATACCAACCCCGCAAGAACAAGACCAATCTTTTGAAGTGACAATAATGCACAATGGCTAGAAGGCGAACCCCAATCCAAGGGGAGCTGACGACTCCTAATACCAAGATAGTGCGGGATCTAAGCAGGTAGAAAAGCAATGCACATATCGCACCAAAGTGTCACAACAACCGGAGAACACTTTCTCCCTTCAAATATATGGAGCGGAACCTCCAAAAAAATTCAAGTTGCCGACTTTGGAAGCCTGCAGGGGGCAGTCGAACCCTAACACTAATATTGCTACATTTGAGTTGCCTATGTCCTTACTCAAAATCTCAGACATGTTAAATTGTCATTTGCTCTTTAACATCTTGAGATATTCACCCCTAAAGTGGTTCCATAGACTTTCTACTGGAAGTATCAGTAGTTTTGTCGATTTCAAGAGGTAGTTTGCACAATTAGCTAGTGCCTGAAGACCCACCAAGAGCGTTCAGTCCTTATGGCGGCTCAAGCAAGGAGAGCACGAGAGTCTTCACACATTCATCACATGTTTCCAATAAGAAATGTTGGAGGTAAAAGCCTCAAATTCGATGCGGTTGTGATTGCCTTAAAGCAAGCCCCGTGGTTTGAGAGGTCATCTTGCTACCCTAATATCAACGAACCCTAAGACTAGGCGAAGCTTATGGAGAGAGACAACAAACATAAGTTGGCAAATGAAAGCACCCCCAAGCTAGAACTAGAAGGCTACTCGACCCAGAAGAGAGCCCCTTTGAGAGGTGAAAAGAAAAGAAGATAGGAACACATACCACCCATGAACCATTGTTTCAAAGAAGGCTAGCCCTCCCGAGACAACGAAGAAACAGAGCAGTACCAGTAACAAGGTTGACTGATGAGAAACTGAGACCATCAATTAACCCGGTGCTATAAAAGGCCAATGCAGCACTACCAACAGCCTTACGAAGATTGCAAGGGCCTACAAGCCACTCCTATAAGGGTGCCAATGGCATAAATTGTGGACACCATCCAAGACAAAAAAATATTTTAAAGACCGATCACCAATGAGAGTCGGAGGATTCCTCCGAGACGTAAGAAAATATTGCAAATAACATCGGGATCATGACCATGAAACAGAGGAATTTATAAATTTCTAGAACCTTATCATGGAGTTAATTGAGGCTATGAAATTGAAAGAGTTCATAGCCACAGGTATTCGAGTTAGAGATAAGGGAAAGTGTCAGCGCTAGAGGCTCTACCCGTGCTTTCTCCTTTTCATCACTCTACTCGTTACCTTTTGTATTTTGTGCATGGACGATCGCAGATGAAATTTATTTTATGCATTTGTTTTTAGACAGCTCACATTGCTTTCCGTTAAAAATACATATGAAATAAGTATGTGCTACACTAATTGAAGATTCAAAACATTTAGGTTGGAAAAATGCTTGGGGAACTGAGAGAGAAGACAGGAAAGAAAACCAAAAACTCAAGAGAATAAAGACATCCAGTCGAGATGCCAAGATTGCCCGGCTGAGCATTACTTGAAGAACAGCTGGCCATAGCACCAAGATCACCTGGTTGAATAACAAATGAAGATAACCAGTCATCGTGCTAATATTTCCTGGTTAAGTATTACTTGAAGAACAGTTGATCGTGGTCTCAAGATCACCCGACTGAGCAACAAATGAAGATAGCCAGCTATGGCGCCATGGTCACCAGACTGAGCATTACTTGACAAAGACCAGGTCATGGCGCCAAGATCGCCCGACTGAGCAACAAATGAAGATAGTCGGACGTGATGTCAAGATCGCCCGATTGAGCATTACTTGAAGGATAGCCGACCTTAGCGTGAATTTTGCCCGGCTGAGCAACAAAAGAAGATAGCCAATCTTGGTGTCAAGATCATGGGGACTAAAAATCAAAATTATCTAACTTATATTTATTTTTAAATTAATTAAATACTTTAAAACTTATTTAAATCATAATTAATTAAATATTAATGACCATGACTTGAAATTTAGAGGGTTTATTTTTCATGGGATTAGGAGTGTTCCTTGAATTTTCCAAAGTCAAAGAACACTTCCAACCCTAAAAGCCCTAATTTTCAAGGCTTATCACATATTTTTTTATTAAAATAATTATATAAATTAAAATATAAATTAGAAAAATATGAGTTTTTTTTTTGTAGGTTCAATGTGATCAGAGGAGCCTAAGAAAAAAAAACCTAAGTTTAAAGTTCTTTAAAATATAATTTTCTAATTTAAGTCATTAAAGCTCATAAAAAAATAAAAAAATAAAATATAATTCAAAAAATTACCAAATTTGATCCATAGTGAAGATAATGAACATATTAAGCCTCTATAAAAAATTTGAAACCCATTTGAAATGTATTTCATATCAAGATTTATTTTTCTAAGTAAATGGAATTTTTCTACTAAAATAATTATAATAAATAAAATATAATTAAAAATTATGAAAAGTGATTTGGAGTGTTCCTTGTGATCAGAGGCACTCAAGAAAAATAGAATTGACATTAAAATAAATAGTTCATTTTTTAACTAATTTTTAATTTAAAAACAATCAAAATCACAAAAATACAAAAGTGCTCCATAATGTCACAAATTGTTTCTTGATCACTAGGGACCATTTAAAATATTTTTTTCTAATTTTCTTAATGAAGTTATTGGCTAAGATCATTTAAAACATTTATTTGCACTCAACCATATGGACTACATTCTTATCCATACAATCTCCTGTGATTCTACCACAGCTGATTGAGACAATACCATCACGAATTTTACATGTTCTCACAACAGATTTTAACATGCAAGTTGATCAATTTTACATGTAAATGAAGAACAAAGAAAAAACATCACAATATATTCTCACTCTACTCAATTCTATGTCCTACACATGCATACTAATTCATTACAAGAGGGAAGCGTAAGGAAAACTACTCATTACATATGGAGAAATAACAAGAACTTTTCATTGAACAAGACTTTGAAATTATACAAATGAAGTACTGAATTCAAATCAAAATACAATGAAAATACTTATCTCTGATGGAAATCAAACTCTCCTTGTATAGCAAAATCAATCTCCTTACAATTATCTCCAAGAACAAAGTGAAAAGAAAAGAAGAATTTCTCACTCTCTCTCTTTCTCTCTCATCTTATCACCCCCCTTAGGGCTCACGCCCAAGCCTTATTCTTCTTCTCCAAGTCTTCTTATCCTCTTCCTACTGATTTAAGAGTCCAAGTGAGTCATTTTAAGAATATTTTCAAGCCTTATTTATAATTTCCCAAGAGATTCTTAAGTGTCTCTTCAAAAATGTCCATATTCATTGAATCTTCCAAATGGTGCCTCAAGTGCCTCTTCAAAACTCCTTATAACCATCCAAAATCCTTTTAGAAAGTCTTTTTTATCATTTCCTACAAATTCTTCAAGAGATGCACAAATCACCACTTCAAAAATCATCCAGATTCGATGTATATTCTAGAAGATATGTTGAAAACCATTTTTGGCGCTTAAGCGCTGATTTTGGGCGCTTAAGCGTCATCTTCTCTGTCTGGGTGGCACCTAAGCACCATTTTGGGTGCTTACGCGCTGGGCACAGACACTTAAGTCCTTGGTTTCGGCCTCTAAATCCCTGGTTTCGGCCTCCATGGCTCCAGTGTGCCCCGGTTCGACCCGATTTGCTCCCCAGTTTGCTCCATTTTGGTCCATTTTTTTCCTTTTGCTCCAATCA